TAAGAAATTTGAAATTCAACAATTATATATAATATTCGTATACAAATAAATCGATACTAAAAAAAAAAATAATTAAAAAAAAATGTCAATCGATCTCCTCGATTTCGCCCCGTAAACGCACCGCCGGTTGCTGCAGCCGTTAAATCACAGTGCCTATATAGATTTTTGATTAACACGAATTAATACTATTAAACTCAGTTTTTTTTTTCAATCCGAGCCGAAAACATTTCTAAACAATAAACGAATCGCGGGGAAAAAAAAAATCAAAATCAAAATAGTACGTCGCTATAATATTGCGAACAACGGTGTATTGCATATAGCGATTTATAATATTATCCCGGGCTCGTGAATTATTAGCGCGGTATTTTATTCGTCGCGTTTTGAACAATTATTACTGTTATTACGAATCATAATTAATATAATAATATTTCAATAGCGTTTCCCGCGTTTGTTTTGCACGAGAAAATAATAATAATAATAATAATATCGTCGTCGAAACCGTCCGAGTGACAATAATAATAATATCTTTAATAATAATAATAATATAACGCGATATCCGAATGGAAAGTCATCGCGCGCGTATATATAAAGACCATTTCACTATTTTATTATTATTATTTTTTTTTTATATTTTTTCCCCGTTTGTGTGTTTTACGAAAGCGCGTCTTTGTGGCGAACGAGAAAAACTGCGGCGCGGTCGTCGTCAATCGGGACTCGCGTACATAATATTTTTTTATTGTCGCCGGCGGTGTGTGTACTGGAAATAATTGCGACCCGCATGAAAACCGACTTTAATCGCCTAACCTATAACCCGAACGCGCGTACATATTATTTTACCGAGCGAATCGAACAATATAATTTGCCGAGGGCCGGCGAAACGTAAATAATCCGCAAAACTCCTATAAGGCACGACGGTATACGTACGTCGAAACGGTGGCGGCGCAATTTTTTTCGACTCGCCTGCTCCCGAAATACCGATGCACCGAAACGGATTTTTCGACGTTTATTTCCTTGATATTATGCTCATACACGTAAGGACTGCCCAGTTCGAAAGATGCCAACCACTCGCCCATCCGCCAGCCAAATTTTTGTCCCGCACAGTTGTTCAAAAAAATCTCGATGGCACTGTAGTTCGAAATGATACAATACACATATATACAGAGCGATTTTTTAGATTCTGAGTTTAGCGAAGAATGTATTGGTTTTACAATGATGTTTATTGTTTTTTTTATGTGAACACTTTTTTTAACAGTAACCTTAGTCCGACTTTTTCTGAAAAAAAATGCTCTCTGGGTGATACTTTAAGTATGTCATTTTTTAAAATTCTCATTAATATTAGTGATAATGAGGGAAACCCGGTTCTTTAAGTTAAAAATGATTGAAAGATTAAAAATAAGGTTGTTATTAGCAATCGTTTTTATTTATTTTTCGCTGTTATCAAGTTTTTATTATTTTAATCTTTTCTAAATAATCATTGTTGTCATGGAAACGTACATTGTTGTAATCATTTTTTATTATAATATGACGTATATATTGTTGAAAAAACACTATCGACTGAACTCCACTCAGAATCGTGTTTTGGTTAGCAATGGTTTATCGTTGCTTACAGATATACATTAAATTCCCGTCTGTGTCCTACCTTGGAAACAGTGGCTGTATCCACGTGCGAAGTATGTTTGTCCTTTTATTTTTCATAAACCAATAATTTTCTTGGAGGATTTTGAGTGATTTCGGTATTTTAAATCCATTTTAATTTTTACAACTACTCCATATACCTTAAATAAGTTTATACTTTTGTTTTTAAAATAGGAACTCCCATTTTTGAACAAAGATTTGAATAGACAATTTTGGTATGCATAACACTAATATCAGATTTACAGTTTATGAGTTATAATCGTTTAAAGTTTTGACCGGATAAGTAGAGAAGAGTCTGCATATCTATGGCTAAATGATAAATTGATAATTCTTCCGGTTTCTACGCCTTCGGTATAAATTATACTTATAACTAATTCATAAACGGTAAATCTGATATTATGTACATCAAAATGTCTAGAAAAGTATTCTCTGTCTAAATCTGTGATCAAAAAGAGGTTTCCTGTTTGAAAAAAAAAATAAAATAAAAATATATACTTATTTAAGGTATATGCAGTAGGGGAAAATTAAAAATGATATTAAAATAAAGTTTAATCGATTCCATAAAGATTGAAAACAAACAGAAATTACATTCATTTAAAATCTTCCGAGAAAATTGCTGGTTTCCGATCACTCTGTGTAGATACTTCAAGGCGCGTTTTGGTGATGCAGTTTCAGGCCGCTCGGTTACCGAACAAGAAGTTTAGAGAACGGGTTTGGCGATAATATTGTTTACTACTGCGATTGTTTGAACTTACTGAGTGCACTCTTTGAGAACCGTATTATCCGTAGGTACAATACCGCACACTGTAAACAACGTTTTAGCGATATTGCCACCCAGCGCCGGCGCCAGATTTTGCGAGGCCCTAGGCTAAATATTCCGGGGTGTTCTGAAAGCATCTTATACAAATCCATAGTGAAAACCGATAAGATACATTTAACTCGCCTCTTCTCTTGGAATTCTTACAAGTCTTATTGAATTGTTATTGTTTAAACATATTTTAAATTTTTAGATGAATAAATGCACAAATTACAACTCGCTACTTTTTAAATTAAATTAAATATATTATAACAGTTTAACGTTACATTTTGATAAAATGAAATTGTTACTTTTTTCATACTACGGCAAGGCCAAACCCATCTGCCACTGCCAATGGTATTACTGTTTTGAATTATTTCGGGAAGCTTTGGATAAATTGCTCACATACACAAAAAAAAAACAAAACTGTCCAAGGATAATGGAGACGAGTGTAGCCACTATTGTAGGGGCGAAGTTGGAAAGGTAGCAGAGGGGAAATATATTGCATATCTGTAAGCAACGATAGACCATTGCTGATAAAAAAAAAAGATTCTGAGCAATCGGTTAGTAGTGTTGTTATTTTGTCAAAAATATATATGTTATATTATGATAAAATATGCATTATATATTTTCTTTAATAATATTTGTTTAATATTATACCTATTTTCTCGTTTTTCCCAATTTTGAATTGTTCATCGGCTCTAGCAAAAATTGTTCTTGTTTTGCACGATTGTTTTACTTAGTACGCTCCGTATTTCGGTACGTTATTTTATTCCCGGACTCAATTTAACACCTAAAATCAGTGACGGGGGTCAATTCAATGAGCTGTCCCCATCGGATCGGTCTAAAATTCTGGATATGGATTTTCTGAACATATGTTCTCGATTCGTTCGCTTGAACACACGCGAAAAACAATACTGTAATATTGAATCAACCGGGCATTAAATAATATTAACGGCGCTCCCGTCCGATTCGTCCGCGACCAAATCCGGTTCTTGTATTACCCAGCCGAATTCCCCGTTGAGATTTTTCCGCGTATATCGCCTCGCCCCGTCATCCGATCCTAACGGCGCAGTGCCCGCGCTCGAAAACTTTTTTCGACGCGATTCGATACACAATTCGAGCTCCGCGACCGCGATCATCTCCGTATGCCGTCTTCTCGCCTCGCTTTCCCGAAAATCTCACGTCGCGGGTCTCGCTCGTTTTCAATATCCATTTTTCGCACGATTAAAATAAAACGGCGATAATGATAATATATAATTCGGCGTTTATAACGCCGCGGTATTATAACAATGTAAATACTCTCTCGCGAAGAACGTTGCGAACACGCCAAAGGGTTAGAGTTTTGCGGCGGCATAATTGCACCCTTGCTAAAAGTTGCCGGCGCCGTCTGCGCTCGCACCCACACGCTCCACACACACACACACACACACACACACACACACACGTGCGCGCGGAACAGCGGTAACGTCGGCGGCGGCGGCGAGGCGGTGCCGGTTTTCCCGCGGGAACCGTATAATACGCGTATAAACCCGGGGCGGAGATCGCGGAACATTAATTTTGTTTGATTGTTATTACCCCGGCGGCGGCGGCGGTTGTGCAAATGTGAAAAAAGGAAGCATTTTATCTTTACCGCGCGCGCCCTGCCGCCGCCGCCGTCGCTTGGTGCCCGTACCGTCGCCGGGCGAAAAAGAAAAAAAAAAACCCGCCGCTGCACTCGGACCGCCGCCGCCGTCGCCGTGGCCGCGGAAAATCGATATGCGGTCTGCCCCGTACCGCTCGCTCGCGGTATACGTATACGCGAAATTAACGCTAGCCGCGTGTCAATTAGCGACGGCGGCGGCGGCGGCCGGCTGTCGTGGCCGAATGGCCAGGCGCGTAACTCGCCGCGTATATACGTATAGTGTGTGTCTGCAGAGCGCCGCCGGCGGAGTGTATGGGTACGCGCGACGTACTCTCCGTGCGCGCGAGTTACACAGAAATGCACTTCGCGACGGCGTAATGACATTTCTGGAGTAAAAGTGCAATCCAATTATTGTATGTGCGCGCGCGTGGCAGGGTGGGCGTGCGGCGGACGGGCGCGTAATTATATATGTCACTCCGCGAGTAATGCGCGTCTGGCGCACGGACCGCGCGCGCGTGTACGTACACTAATATTATACATTTCGGATGTGTACGTTTACATATAACGTGTAGGTACACACAAAAGCCCGGCGACAGCGCGTTACTTTGGGAAAATTGAAATAATAATTGTAATTATACGTGACGTGCACTGAAAGCTGGGAAACACGGTCGAGGAAAAACGACCACTGAAAAAATGCGAACGCGTGCTGCCCCGGTAAAATAGTCCGCGGAAATTAAATGCTCGCGCATAATCGTACCGTAACGCCATAAGCATTTTTTTAATTAAATATTTAATGGGTTCGATACCAGTTTTTCAAATTCGAAGAATTCAAAAATGTTTTTAACGTTTCAATTACCATTTTAAAGATAAGATTTTCCAACTGATCAACCACCCGAAACTGACGAAATAGTGATAACTGATTTTCAATTGTTTTATAAACAAACAACAACGTTTTACAGGTTGCATTGAACTCCGATTTTTTAATTTCGATTTCTAGTAAGGTATAAAAAAAAAATGGCAAAAAACATTATCATTATTTCCGTAGAGTGTATTTTCGTTTGCAAAACGACATTGGCACCGGGCACCTTAATCGGTTACGCTCTTAGGCTCAACTAGATCACCAACTTTGGGGGTGCTTAAGTTATAAACACATCACAGACTCATGACTTCAAGAGTTTGTGGCAATGCAATGCTTCAACAATTCCCTTTACATTAGACCTATATAATAATAAGCAATTAAACACATTTTGTTTTCAATTTTTAATATAAAAACTGTCTAACTCTATTTTTTACACACACATGCATGTTTTCTGTGGGTTATCCGTATTTTATTCTGCTTATTAATTATTATTACACACACGGATAAAATATTTAGTCGATACTATAAAAAAAGCTTTTTTGAGTATATTAGGGACGCTAAAGATTCCCTTATACCCATCTAGTTGCGCCTGTATGGTTATATGCTGTAACGGAAAATGAACGGTAAAATATTAAGATGAATCTCAAAAGCAAAATACGATACGACGATACGCAGATTACGGACAATCATCGTAATAATCGAAAGTCGCTTGAACGTCCGACGCCCTCTGCTATTTTACGAATTCCCTCATCCCACCACCATTCGGGACACGCGGAGTATTTTTTTGTCGCGGTCCGGCGATTGTACCAATACATGGCTATTAAAATCGATTTTGAGTATTATTTTTATTTTTTTTTTTCAATAATTTCATAAAATTATTGAAGTTTTATTTTAACACTACCGTAAAGGTTTGAATTTGAATTGTTGCCTCTATTCTTTATAATGTACTACGTACGGATGGGACATCGATATTTTCTTTGTTTGTCTAACGCACAGTGTTATGCATGTTGCATGGTAATTTAGACCGAATTTTCCTGCAATCAGACCACATCGGCGTACTGAAGCGATAAGAATTCTGAAGACTATAGATTTCAGTTCAGCATACAGTGTACGCGAGCCATGCCAATTTTTCAATTATATTTTAGGTTTCATTTTAAATAAATATCACTACGTTGTGTATATTGTATTAGACAAAGAAAAAAATATGATTTTCGAATAGCCATACTCTATTCCGAACCAAAATCGAAAAAAAATATTTTTCTACAAATGTTGATGTGCATAATATATTTATGTTTGTGTCTAATATGCATAACTATTTATAGTTTAGACCGGAGGAATGTTAGGTTTTCTAATATAGGTTTAATCTAATACTGTTTATATTTCATGATTTTTAATTTAAGGTACAGGGGATAAATAATTTATGACTGTGTTAAAGTAAAGCTTAAAACAATACCATCATGATTTGAAAAAAAAGACCATGTTCGCTGGATCGTAATAAAGAAGTCACCTTGTGAACTATTATCCGGAACAGTAAAATAACAGGGCATAATATTTTAGGTACCTAAGAGCGCCAATATCTAGGAAAATTCAGAAGGGTAAAATGAAAGGGGTTATTGGAAGGGAGAAGAAATTTAAAAATAATGAAATAACATAATATCGATAATAGCTATAAATAATATAAATTATTATATTAGAGAATCTATTATATACTGTATTTAATAATCAACAGAAAATACCCGCGAGTAGAAGTGCTCCGTCATATAGCTAAAATCGAATTTCTCCTCAGAATTTTTTATATAATAATATTCTTTGGAAAACAATTATCAATTTTATTTATATATTTTATATACTATACTACGAAATGTACTATACATCCAAAAAAATTGCTAAATTTCATTTATAAAAATGGTAGGAGTGCGGGTTGAAAGCTGAAACTCCCAAATGGCACAACCTTGTTGCCGACGCCATACATGTACAAAACTTCACCCCCTAGCTTCATTTAGAAGGGCCCGTGGGGATGTACAATGCCAAAAAACACCCTTTACCCCGCAACAATTTAATACGGTTAAATTCATATTGAAATTCAACCCAACTTTTGTCACTTCAATGCGCCGACAAAACAACTATAATTTCAGAGTTTATTTGGTCCAGAGGGAACTGCTAGAAACGTCCGATAGTATGCGGGATAATGATTACATTAAATATAAACCGGACTCAATGCATGCGAAATAGTCTCTATTTTCTGGTAAGATTCGACAAAATCTGATTCGTTGTATTTTCTCGAGAGGTGAAATTATAAAAGTTATTATCATAACATTATACGTGTATTAAAATAACGTAAATGCTTCGGAGTAAACATATTCAACATCTATATTTCATTTTATTAAACGGAACCATTTTGCGTTTTCTCTTAAATTTTCATCGCACAGAGAGCGATCGATTCTCGAGGGACCAACAACAATAATAATAATAATTTGTCGGGCTTCCGTCTACACATTTTTGTGATAAAATAATTATTATGTACCGATATGTATTCTTCATCATATTATACCTATACCTATATAATAGTAGGTAGTTAGGTTTATATTTCTCGGCAATATTTGTCGATTTTGCATACGTGTCGACATTTGTACATTTTCGTTCAATATACATTCGTATTATTGTATAGTTAATTGCCTCAAATTTATTTTCTATTATATATATGATTCGACTTTATTGTATTTACACCTTCCACTGTAAATTATAAATTGCAGTTTTAATCACGCGAAATTATAATGTCTACTTGAAACAATGTGCTACGGTGCATGGGGGATAAGAGAAATACGGAATACCTACTTATCTATATTATGAAAACGAATATATTGTAATATAATATGTAAGTAGGATGTTATTATGGGGAAAACTCATGTGGGGGGGGGATAAATTCCTTTCTCACCACCTCCCAACTGGTATCCCACTAAATCGCTATTTTCAAATCATTATATTCTACTATTTCTACTAAATGAGTGTACGGAAAAAATGATACTTTTTAAAAAGTTATGCAGTATAAAAACTTACATTATGTACAAATATGACTTTCAGAATTGTATTATGTTGTTGCGGGTAGAAGGTATTTTTTTGTTTGCTTTGTACACCCCTACAGACTCTCCGAATGATGCCAGGGGGGTGCTATTTTATGTATCTACAATCTAAGTATATCGAGGATGTGCCTTTTGGGGTTTTAACTTTCAACCCTTACCTCTGTCATTGTTAAGGTTGAATTTCACTATTTTTTTTGGAAATAGTATAATATTGTATAGTAGGGTTTAGAAGGTATTATTCTAAGGTTGTGCAAAAGATATTACTATGAAATAGGTATGCGGAAATTCGATTTTAGTGACGAAGATTACGGATTTTTCTTTTTTATAAAAATCTTGTACTATAGGTATTTCTAATCGGACTAATAATAATTTTTTTTTCCTGGCAATTTTTCTTTTTCATCAAAATGAATGGATTGAGATGCATATTATAAACATATGTCACTTGATCTCTCACTTGAGAATTCGCATCAATTCGGATTATCGCCTTACAGTTTGTTCGTTTTTCAGAAATATACATCAAGTTCTGAGCCTGCACGGTTTTGTATTAATTATGTTTTACGTACATTAATCAATGTTGCATAGAAAATAAAATAATGTATTGTAACTAGAACTTGTAAATAAGTGTAACAATAATAATATACCCATGACAAATCCAAAAACGTTTTTATCTGAAAAAAATCAATAATAATCAATAACACATATTATTTACAGCCTCGAAGTTTTTGCATTTTATTATGTGCCTATCCAGCGTAGTTTTCCGCGACCGAGGTTTTTATTTCTGGTTTTAAGAAGGTCGTCACTGGGTACTGTCGTCAGTCTGTCTATTACATGGACAAACATTTGAATTTAATTACGGATCGTCGTGTTATTATAAAATACTACACGTTACAAAATCACCGTGTGTACAATGTACTTAATATTATGTGTACTATTATGTTCCGATTATATAACTTTACACTGTTAATATTTATTGATTCCAATTGGTTGTACGCGGCTGACGAATCGACAAAATGCCATTATAATTATTATCGTGAAATGGAGTAGTTCCATATATATAGATAAATAATACTCAAATAAAGTACATAGAAAATATCCCTAAATCAATCTGTAAAGGGTGGGGGAGGGACGACAACTTAAGAATTAACTCGGTCTTTGTTTACGATTTTAAATTATTTATTATAAAATGCATAAGCACCTACTTAATTTAAATTTAACAAACATTATTTTGATTATTTCACAAAAAATATACAAATTATTCAAACTGCACAGCATATAAAAAATTAACGAAATTTAAAAAAAAAAAACTACAAGGTACGTCACTCACCCCGCAGAAGATGCCCCCGCAGAGAGAATATAGGTATTGTGTAAAATACAGGTTAGGTATTTATTATCAGGGTTGCGAAATTGTAGAGAATTAATTTTAGCTTATTATATAGGTAGATAGTTTCCGTTACACAAAGTTATAAGTACACCGAGCAGCTCTCGAAACTTTTATTTTGATGTTTTTGATCTTATTTTACATAATTTTTTTTGCCTTTTCTTTGTATATTAAGGTATTTATTTTTTTTGATATAAACATAACTAAAATATTCCACAATGGTTACGGTTTTTCTTGTTTATTTATTTTAGGATTTAAATTGTAATTTTTTAAAACTTTTTAATTGACGTATACTAGCTGTTTAACGCGTATATAAATAAATATTTTTCCTTTTTCGGGAGCCAAGTTATTCGAAATGAATACTAATATACATCATGTAGATATAAGGTTTGATTTTTCAGCTCGTTTTATTGGGACTTGTATTTCAACTGTATAGTGTATATATTATAAATTCACAATTCTATATTTTTTTTAGAAATATTTACGCGTATCGGTCCAATTATTAAGCTTTCGTCGAGAACTTCATTACCAACTCTGGAATATTAGTCGATTTTTATTTTTGTTTTTTTTAACAATGGCATTGGTTTTAGAAATCAATGAACGTACATCATCGATTTACAGGTGTGGGTATATGGCACGTGCTTATGATAATGCAGGTGCTCTTGGCTCTCTCTCTCTTTTTATCGTACTTTTTCTCTCTTTGTCTCACACCAGTCATTCATTCTTTCTCTTCTCGTATATATATATACGTATATATTCTGACTACTGGTTGTCCGCGGTCGTGCTCTAACAGGCCGCCAGGTGACACCTGCTATGAATCTCGTGACCATCAACGCGCGATGAAAACCGTACTCGATCTGGCCTTTGTTTCGACGCGCGACCAGTTTCCGTCGAAATGTCACAATAACGTAATATTATTCAACATAACAATATTGTATACGGATTACGGATAGGGGGAGGGAGGAGGTGAATGATAAATTATCGGACCTAATAAACGTATGTAGTATGTACGTTTATTATAGGTACGTGGATTCGTACACTCATAGTTAACTGCAGTTTAAATGAACACACATTATTAAGAGTATACTAAGGCGGTAAGCACAGGGTGTACCAGGTGTGCTGGGGGCTGAAAAAGAAATGTATTTATTATGAGCTGTATTTAATTATGTATGCTAACCCATGAGGTATTTGCAAAAATGCACTATAAGTAACGAATTAACCAAACCAAGCAGCGACTACTAACCGTGATATTACTTATCATTGCTTTGGTTCGAGAATTATCTTAATATTATTATTGTTAGGGGATAAGATAAGGGGGGATATAAGACCCATTTATGGGGTAATGGTACATTTTGTTTACAGCATTTCTTGCATACGCCTATGCAAATATATTAAATAATATTGTGTGACCGTTGACCTGTCATATTATTAACTAATATATTTTTTTTTACTTACAATTAGAGTAGTAATAATTTAAAAACATATATAATATGTAGAGAAAGCACGTAAAGTATACCAAAAAATGAAACAAAAATATTATTTCGATTTTAAATCATTTTTCATCTCAACTAATTTAAATTTGAGAATAATTCGACTTGTGAAAACTATATTGGTAAACAATTGACTGATATTACGCAGTTTAAATAGTATACAGAAAAAAAATTATAATAAATCGAGTAAATTTATAAGATGTATTATAATATTATATTCAATTGTTCTAATAAATTACACTCTCTCGAATTATTATAATCGGATACCGTGCTGCAAGATTATTAATGATGCAGAAGGTCCTTGTATAGTTGAGACTTTAAAGGACATGGAATGTGATATTTGAGTCATATTGCTCAAACCTTGCCTGTTGTTATCCTGGATGTATTCCCGTGGGACAAACTCGCAGGATTCACACATTACACATACTGTGCTTATCCCACAGGTTTTAAATTTATATTTGAATTTAAAAAATTACAGCATTATTTATTGTTATCATTTTTTTATTAAAAATAAATAATGATTTTTTTGTTAGGTTAGGTTGAGTTTTGTGATCAATACAATACTTATTGCAGGTATTATTCATTGTAATCATTACTATCTGCAACCAAAGTTTAAGTATAAGTAGTATAATTTAAAATTTGAATCTCTATCTCCTCTAATTTTCTCTGTGCACGAGTATACTGTAACATTTTTAATAATTTATTATCAAATTAAATATTTTTTTTTTTTTTTAACTCCGAAGATAACAATGATTTTCAATTGGCCCAAGTCGTTACGCTTCTAAGCAGTGGAGTATTTATGGGGAGATGGAAGGGAAGGAATAGTCCAGGGTTACTGGGTACTTCCCAGTGCCAAAAAAAAATTCTAATCAAATCAGATAAATGATTCTGCATCATTAAGTAATAAATATATACAAATTATACATATAGTCGTGGCATTGTAACGACAGGTTTCCAGGCTGCGACTAAATATAAAGCGTGGTAAAGGCAAGTTACTTTTATAATATTACAGACTTTATAACACAGTAAAACTGATTATTGATGAATTAGTTTGTATAGTAATTTTATAGATAAAAGAAAATATAAATTAATGTATTTTATCTTGTAAATAATGTCATGTAAATACTAATACTCTCTTAGATTATACACTTTTTTTGTTAATTTAAAAATTTCGTTCTAATTTTGCGAGAACTATAGAGTAAATAATTATGCATATTTTATTATATTCTTGTTTAAATAATACCGCGCCAATTATTCGAAATAATGTGCGTACTCGTATATTATATTGTGGCGATCAGAAACAATTTGTCTACTGCTTTTCTATACTGTTTCGTTATCTATTCTTTTATAGGATTAGTCTATAACTTATTTTCATTTGAAATTTAACTCAAGGTTCTATACTTATACACGGGCGCTCGTGGGAGGAGGAGCGAAACCGGGCACTTCCTCTGCTGAAAAAATAACATGAACTAATTAATTGATATTTAATCGTTTAGGATATATTTCAGATTTTTTTCTTAATTTCCCCCCTCCTTAAGTTTTTCTCCTATGAGTGCTCACTCATGTGCTTGATGTTTATATAATAAAGATTTTGGTCGTCGTTAATGCCTAGCCAATATATACAACTTATTTGATAAATATTGGATTTTTAAAACAGCGTATTATAATTTATTTCATATTGGGTTCGTCCATATCAATAAATTAAATTATATCGCTCTCAAGTGTCGGAAAATCAATTTAACTATAATAATGTATATATATATATATACATTATTTATATAGACGCATTTTGAAATGGTCTTTACGTGCGCGTAAATAAGTAATAAACGATAGAATTGCACGGGGTATAAATGAAGTTTGGTTCGAAAAACGATTTGAAGACTCGAATACCCGGCTGTCTCTCTGCGACCTAAGAGACGAGCCAGCGCATTATACTTTCATAACATTTTGATTATAGAACGACTCTTCGTTAGATTCACACGACGCGAACGAACGAATGTCACGAGTGTCTGCCGAGAAAATCATCAGCGCTCTCTCTCTCTCTCTCTCTCTCTCTCTGTCTCTCTCTCTTTCTCTCACTCGCTTCTACGGCAGACAGATAGTTTCGGTTATACGAATCGCTATATTATAATATTAGGTATAAAACAAACATCTTCTTAGAGCACATGGAGTTTTATAATAATAGTTCATAAAATGACTGTATAATAGGAACTTTCAAGACGATATATTTCAATACCGTAACATTATTCGTGTACAGTAATTGATTTTTTCAGAGGTATCAAAATACGTTTGAGAAATGTTAAAATTTGGTACACGTGCCGTTTTGTGCATATTATAGCGATTCGTACATATCACGTATACAGCGTAATCCGCAACGGCGATACACTTTCGTGTACCGCAGCTGATACGTTTTCATTATTATAAAGCTCGGTCGTAAATCTCGGCCGTAACAACTGTTACGGTATTCACAATCATCGCGCCGGGGTGACGCGTAAAACCCACACTCACGCCGCCGCACGTTTAAACGCGGGCGCGAAGAAGCAATAATAATATCGCCGCTGTATAATTTCGACTACTCGACTAGCGAGAGATATTATATGTATATATACGTCATCTCGTATACAGAGAGAGAGAGAGAGAGAGAACGAAATTATAAAAAATAAAAAAAAAAAACCAAGAAGGGAAAGAGTATTTAAAAAAATTAAAAAAAAAACAAAAAAAAAAAAAAACAGAAGCGATGTCAGACTCCCACAAGCTGTCATTAATTATGTCGTCGGAGCGCAGCGGGAGGGCGACGGGCCCCAAATGCCATCCACACTCTCGTTCTCTCACTTTCTCTCCGTCTCTCTCTCTCTCTCTCTCTCTCTCTGTGTGTCTCTCTCGCTCTCGCCGTGGCTGTTGCGCCGCGTACAGTTGTACACACCACCACAATAGTTTTGTCATTTATTGTGTGAGTAATGGGCGGCGGAATTATATGGGAACCGAGAAGAAACCCAGGTGCTGAAGCTGCACGGACCCCCACGCCGCCGCGCCGAGATATTACTATGTTCGGCGGCGGCGACGATATAATAGTAAGACGAAATCCATTTTCGCCGTAATTCGGACAAGGGTTATGTACACCGTATTACCATTACACCGGATTGTACTTATACATTATGCACCACACGTGTAAAGGGAACCCAAAATTCGAGCGGTGCAGTGCGGTGTGCGCTCGCGTCGTGTATTGTGTTAATGGTCTGAATAGATATACGAGATATAAGAAAATGATACGGAATCGGTTGTTTGTACGCGCGCAGCTCTTAAAACAATAGAGACACACTATATTATATATTATTATATTATTATTGCGTCGTTCTGAGGCATTTTTCATTTTTTTTTTTTTTTTTTTTTTTTTTTTTGTTTTTCATTCTCAGCCTAATTATTATTGTTCCGATCCGAGTGGGAAAAAAATGTTCCCAAGTTTTTTATTACCGCTAGTCTTTTGTACGTACCTACGAGTCTTAAAAGATGTTTAACGATCAGGTGAATATTATTATAATAATAATAATGATAATAATACGAGTAGACTATAATCCACTGATCTCTTTCTTCGTCGGTTTACGCGCGTAAAAAACATGTATTTATAATTTTTGAATATACCTATATTACGCGTGTGTGTGTGTCCTCGTTTTTATGTACTAAAGTACCACCCAGCGAAAATTTCCTTTCAAAAAAGGTGCTATACTTGATAATCGGAGTATGCTCTCTGATAGAAAAGTGTTCATATAAAAAAAAAAATATAAAATACACATCAGTGTAAAACCAATACATTCCTCGTTTCACTCAGAATCTAATGAAAATAAGAAAATAAATTAAAATATTAATAATGAATTTCATTCTCATCACATATTATACTATTATCCTCTGGAATGCCACGAGAGTGTTGTTTGTCGTTATTAAGCAATAACCTACAAATTACGTTTAAAAGTATATTTTTTTTTTTTTTTACTTCTGACATAATTTCCTTTTTCATTTTTTTTCCTTAACCATTATTTCCTACGGGCATTTTTACCTCTGACATTTTTCCTTCAGCAATTTTTCGGGATATTTTTTCTTCAGATATTATTTTCTATAGATCCAAATTTTGATGATGATAGTTGATGTAAATTTAAAATGTCAAATTACGTTACGGCGGCAACATAATGATGCCCACACGGTTATAATATCGTTGCAGCAAAAACTTCTTATTAAATAATTTCATGTTATAAATTGTCATAAACACGGTCTCGGACGATCTTTTGAGACGGTGGTTGTAATTTCCTTGCGTTATTGATTGTCCGTTTTTTGCGTGATGACTATGTAATAATACTCTAAAATTCCAAGTTAAAGTATAAGTTCTTACTCTTTTAGCAACATATTCATTCTTAAATAATTATGTTAAAATTAGATTTGTAATTAATAAAAATTATTATGATATAATATGTAAAAAAAAAAATTAAAAATCAGTATTATTTGCTTTATTGGGGGTTATTATTATATTTATAAATTGTTTTTTGATTTCTGTTTTTTCTTGATGGGTATTCTATTTTGTGGTTACACGGAAAGAAAAAAAATTATACCATGTGGTCCTTAATATTCATCTGTGATAGCCCCAGTAACATCTAGCATTGTTTGATCACTCACCTTGTCCACGAGTCGGTTGATGAAATGTGGTGGACTAGATGTGGTTGTTCAGTGATGCCATCGCCGATGCCATTACAGGTCAATTTAAACATAAAGTTTAAAAGAAATTGATTAAATCAGATTGCAGTGCAATCAAAAACTTTTTTTTTACAGTGATTTATCGTTGCATAGTTTTTAGTTTTAGAATTTATATTCTGTCCAAGCGCATTTGTTTTTAAACACAATTTTACTAATTTATTGTTTACCATTTAATTATATTTTATAAAGCCTTTAAAACATAGTAGGTATAAAATAATATGTTCGTTATTATTGACATATTTATTTGCGTATACGGTATTCTCGAACACCTAATGCACTCACTACTCGTATATCAAACCTTACAACTTGTATTATATTATTATAAAATATAATATGTAGAAACGAATTTGAATTTTTAGATTCGAAAAAATGATATGTTTTTTATATTTAAGACGATACATATGTGTAGATATACACGTGTTGTATAACAGCATCTTGACGTGATTCATTACAATAATATAATGTATAGAATAGGTATCTAATACTCATATGAGTCGTATGTCAACGAAGCCTTTACGTGTTGTTTTACATCAGGCACTCAGTGAAAACAACACGTCGTGACAGAAATCAATCAGTATAGTAATATTATGTACACGGTACACCATAATAGGCGTAGCATACAAGGTATATTGCGACTATCGTGAGGATTGGATATCGCTTAATGTTTCCAGTGTAGAATTATTGTGAAAATCTTTCTGAAAAATACCGAATAAACCATTAAAATATAAGTTACGAAAAAAAAAAGAATATCTGAAGCACTGTTTTGTTTAGAGTACATTTAAAAATTGCTTTCCTGTAAACACGGTACAAATTAAACAAAACCCACGTATTAAAAAAAACCGCTTTTGTTCCACTTGGCTCAGGTTCGCTTTGATGTTGATTCCAGATTTGCACCTGGAGGGGAAGATGCATATTATTATAATTTATTATACTACAGAAGTCGGAAATAATCCAGTATACGAAGTACAATCCTGCAGGATCCTCTTTTTGTGGATGTAAATTATTTAACGGTCTAAATAATCCATCAGTCACATTTATCTCTGTCTTTTTGATAAATTATTATATTTTATATACATTTCCACTATTTGCGTTATTTTCCATTATTAATCTTTTATTTTTTTATTAAATTCTTCCTTATCGGGTCGTCTCGACTGAAACTAACCCAATAATTTACGCAGTTACAAGACACGTCAAAATCAGAGGGTTAACGAAGTTGTAAACTTCTCGAAAGTCTTATCGAAATAAAATCCGCTATAATATATTGTAATTGTACATTATGCCGCTTCGCGTCTTCGCTTATGTATAAGTCCCTCTTGCGCATCATGCAGTTGCACCGCTCTGCGGCGACCTATGTAGGCGACGCCGCATAGGAGGGTGCAGCGGGTGTTTCGTAAGCGCATATTATAATATTTATAATCGTAATAAACGATCGTACACTCTGCACGCGTAGTTTTCACGACAAGCATAATATTTTTTTTTTTTTTTTTTTTTTTTTTTTTTTACACTCTCGACACTTTATAATACTTAATAATATTTACGAACAACGCGTAATAATATAATATATTGTAATATTTTCATAGAACCCGGCAAATGTTGGACGACAGCGATCCGCTGCGGTTAGAACGGGAAATTATTTTTTATTACGGTCGTCTCATACTTAATAACATTGCGGACTTGTAGGTACACGCGTACGAAATTGTACATTTTTTTTTCTGTCGATTTTTGCGGCCACATTACCGCCCAGTTGTGTCCGCGTTATACCTGTAATACGACCCGCATGCGTTTAAGTATAATGTCGCGCTTCTTTTTAAATCGTATACTTACACGGTTTTTTTTTTTTTTTATGACAAACGTTCGACTTGCAGGCGGTAGTTATACGCGAAAAGTGTCACGGGCTAATTGATTTTCTCGGAGACGGCGGCCGCCGAGAGCTTACAATATAAGGACCCTCCGCGTATATACGCGAATACGTTCGCCCCAGGTGCAGTGTAGTTGTCTGGCGAGGTGTTGCACACGCCCCGTACCTCTTACGTCGGACGTGTGTGTATGTATTATACTCACGTGTTTGCGTTACATTTTGTTCCGGGTGACTTATTTCTGCCCCTCGTCCCTTACCCCCTCCCCCCTTGCAGTGACTATTAGTATACGTGTGACGTAATACGTTCGTATCTACTGGCGATAACATACCTAATATATATATATATAGGTTGCGGAATGGAGTCGATTAATTCTTTGTGCGTGGGCGTGTGCGATTTCGACGAGCGTACTCGAAAAGCCTCGTGAATATATCGCGCAAAAATATCGATCCCCGCTGCGCCGAGTCAAATATCTCGAAAAAGGCCTAACCTTTATTATCACGTGTATAGGCGCCCCGTGTGAACTTTCGTAACGAACCGAACGATATTGAATTATCCAAAACGCATGTAATGGAATTTCGGTTTTCCGAATTTCACCGTCAGATTTTCCGAGCTTTTGCTACGCGCGTGTCAGTTGGGCAATGTAGCCTCGGAGAGCACGCGCGAATGACGAACGAGCTTGAACTGTATATTGTATTGTTGTTCCGCGATCGTGATGGTTGCTAGAACTTCGTCTCGCCCAGTAACCAGAAAATACAACTCGTATTACCGTGTTATAAAGTAAATCTATTCTCGCGTAAAGGAATTAGCCAGTAAGTTGGCTAATTGGCGAGCGCGAATCAATTTTTCTAACTATCCGCAGAGCCGCGCTAAATTTTAGTTGCGAGCCGCCTTGACGATAATAAATACGAAATATCACGCGATATTATACCTTCGCTGCACCCTTGAAAGATTACTGACATAGCTCAAAAAATACAAATGCTAAGTTATTTCTGTCGAAATATGCAGAATTTCATCATTTATAATTTAATATTATTGTTTAAATTGTTTCGTTTATTCGGTAATAAAGGTAATACGGACCAGAATGTTTTTGCGTTTGCCTAAAATAAATTATAGATTCCGGTTTAAATATTGACACTTCTGAGAATATGTGACTTTGACCCAACTTGTGTTGTTATACACGATATTTGTCCGGCCGAAACAGTCGTATATCAAGGTAACGGTTTCACGCGGGAAATAGACCATTGTGAAGAATTACGAAACATTAAAAGTCGATATTTCCAAACATTTTCAGTGTTTAATTCGTGATCGCGTGAACATTCCGATAAATATCAACACTATAATTTTATATAATACGCAACCTAAAAGTAACGTATTATCTTTTTGGATTCTACGCAAAGTGAGGTATGTATTGGTTTTTCAATGATGTTTTTTTTTTTTTTATTTATATAAATGTATATATATATATATATATATCTGTCAGCCACTTTTCTACTGACAATTTCGCTATGATTTTTAAATTATAGCGTTTTTTTCTGACAGGAAATTTGATTAGGGTGATACTTTAAGGAGTTAATTTTTTGATTTCCCCAAGAGTTTTCCCAATAAATGGGAATAAAACGTAGGACAAACGGGAAAATAGGTACAATATTAAACAAATGTTGTTGAAGAAAATATATAACGCAAATATAATTATTTTACCATAATACGACATAATACCGTTGACAAAGCTATACACAATTAACCGAACTCCGCTCAGAATCGTTTTTTTCGTTAGCAACGGTTGCGTACAGACGTACGCGTTAAATCGCCACGCCCGACCCACCAAGCTTTCCGCCTGCACAACAGCGGCCCGCGCGAGAAGTACGTCCGTGCGTCATTGTTCTTCCGGCCGGGACGTAATGGCCGACGTACAAGCCGGCTGCGGCGGGCGCTTGGAAAAACGCGTTTTTCGCCGGCTACTCGACGGTCTAGTCGCCGCCGCCGCCGGACATCGACGCAATCAAATTAAACTTTTCGTTTCCTATCGTATTAGTGCGGATTTAGACCCGCGTACGGGGCCGTGCCGCCCAACGACCACGCGTCTCGCGGCCACCGCGATAATTATCCATTCGCCCCGCGGCGGCCGCGGCCGTCTCCCGAGACGGCACCCATTAAGCTTTATTGCGTCCGTATACGCGTCGACCGGGGGGGGGGGCTGGAGGGAGACGGGGTGCGTGCCGCCGCGGCGCGCAGTTTTTAATTCGAATAAGTGTCCGCGCGCGATTACTACAAATCTCCGTTAAGCGGTGTGCGCCCGACGGACACACGCGCACGGGGCTATTCCTTTGTCGCGCTCGGCGTTGTCGCGTTCGTAATAATATAATATTTGGTAAGTTCGCCGCCACCGTACAGTATGCGTTCGCACAACGGTGTCCGCGCGTGCGTTGTGTCCGGCCGCTTTGTTCGCCGGAACCTGCAGCCGCGTTATCCCGAAAACCGCGAGTGCCGTCGCGAAACCCCCCCCCCCGCTGTCGTATTCCGTATGAAAACGTTATGGCCACAGATATAACAGCGTTGTCATAAAAAAAAAAAGTTGACCCGACCGAACAATTTGCGTTTAAACGTTCAAATGTTCGCTTTTCAAACGACTTAATCTTGTACGGTTCTAATTATAACGACTATGTATAGTCAAAAGGAGTGTACTCTGCGGTGTCTTTGTAAAACGGTACCTCGTTTGTAGATTACGATCGAGTACAAAACGAGAAAAAGAAATCGTCACGAAAAGAAATATTATCGTTTAGAAATATTATAATAGATTTTACTTACAGTAAATGCCGATTTGGATTCTGAGCGTGTATACGCGAGGAATTTGTACCGGTTTTACTATTCAGTTTACAACTTTACTGTCAATGCTGTTTCTCTAATCAACCCCCTGAAGTTCCAGGGATGATTTCTGGTAGGTAACGTATTTTTTTCTGATTATTGGTACCATAATATGAGAAGGGTATTTTTTTTGATTTTCCTTAATAATCATGAAAAAAAGATCAGAAAACGGGCATATTGAATATAACACTGTTTTTTTTATATAACCTCTTTTTAGAATATTTAACATATCTTGGTGATTTTTGAACTATGGCCATTTGAAATTTTTGTACATTGTAGTTTTTATTCGACCGACATAAAATCAACACGATTCACTTACTTTGTGGTACAAAAAAATGTTAGCGTAATATAATAATTTTCGGATTTACGTGTCCGAAGTTCAAATTTTGATGAAAATCGTAAAAAAAACATTAAAAACGAGTAGTAATAATTTGTACGTTCTATCACGCAGTAAAACGCCCCATGAAACGCCTCAAAAATTAAGCCTCTCTGATTCAGGCTCTTTCTATTTTTTATATTTTCTCGTATTTTAAATTTAGAAAATGTATTCTGCGTGATAGAACATACAAATTATCACTACTAAAATGTACAACCGATCATCACTCAGGATCATTTTTCATTAGCGATTCTTATTGATGGTTGCGTGTAGACAAAATAAAATAAATCTATATAATTCCACCTTCCCAACTTCCTACCTACAGCAAGGGTACTCCCACCAGAACTCTTCTTTTAATTAACCTTCATTAAATTTAAACGGTAGTGTACTTGTTTAAAATTGTTTACCATAGTTTTACGTATTTATTTCTATAGTAAATAAGTTTAAAATTGTTTTCAAAATGAAATATAAGGACACACGCGTTTTAATGGTATAGGTACTCGTAGATTGTGTTTTCGTATTGGTTTAAATAAATACAATTTATTTTGTTAACTCAACGTTAAAAATGTTACTTTTGATAATTTATTTACTAGATGAAAAATAAATTGGTAATGTAGTTATTGACGATTCAAACTTATTTCGCTATACTCTCTCTCTCTCTCAGAGAGACAAAAAGTATTGCAGGGACAGTAAAGGTATACTTTGGGGTCACGCCAAACTTCAATAAAATTCGTTTGACTTAACAATGATACTTTTCACTATAAATACACTATGAACAACGAAAAATAACGTATGAAAAAAAATATAAAGAATACAAGTAGGTACCAATAGAAAAACACCGGAAAAATCGAAAGAGAATTCAACACCTAGCTGTAGTATTAGGATTATATATATATATATATATATATATATATAAAATTATCTAAAAGATAATATAGATAACGATACAAATTATATTTTATCTTTTGTTTAAATAATTTTGTTTCGGTAAATACGTAGATAATATTATGATTTCATTCTTAAACAATTTTTTTTCGGTGTAATGGAACGTTTGTGGCGTATCGCACATGCACTTATTACACTATACTCTTCTTGTACGACGCACGCACTCATTGGTAATTCACAAATAAGTCATATAAGATTATGTTTTGCAATATAAAAATTGATTTTTCATGTTCAAAAAAAAAAAAAAAAAAGTAGTAGACTCTGACTTAATAGCACCTACACCATTTTAAATACCTTTTATTATATAAAAGCCGTGATCCGTCTGCTGTAACGTTTTATTGATTCGCCATGGAAACCAAATATAAAACCCGCTGTAACCAGTCATGCGTGTGAATCTGAATTATAATAGGTATACCTATAAATTCATAAATTCTTAAAACATTACTTTTATGAATGGCATTATTAGGGCTCAGAACTTAATGCACTTAAAGTCTACAAAAAACCACTTAAAACGTTAAGCGCTTTTTTGTGAACTTTAAGTGCATTAAGTTCTGAAAGAATCAGCTAACTGCAACTGATAACTTACAAGAATCAGTTGACAATGTCTTTGCCTGGACGAAACGTTGGAAAATTAAGATAAATGGTGATAAATCAGTACGCGCTTATTATACGTAAAACAAAAGAAATCCAAATTATGTTGAATCAAACATTAATCCCATAAAAAGATTCAGCAAAATACCTTGGAATGCACCTAGACTGCCATTGAAACTGGAACCACCATGTCCGCCGAAAAAAAAATACAGATTATAGAAAAAATGCGATAGCTCTATTGGTTAGTTGAATCCTACTCCAAGTGAACTATAGAAAACAAACGTCTACTATATGTAGCTATCATAAAACCAATTCGGACTTATGGCATTTAACTGTGGGGTTGTACCAGTAAGTCTAACATTGATACAATACAACGCTGTCAAAACTTCGCTCTTCGGACCATCACTGTAGCCTACCGGTTTGAAAGAAACGATGCCATTCACCGCGATCGGATGCTGCCTACATAGTTGATGTAATCCAAAAGTTTGCTCACAAACACGAGACAAGAGTAGAACACCATGTCAATCCACTGGTTATCCAATTATTAGTCAACGCTTTAAGCGTCTGAAACTATACGACTTAGTTTAAGAATTTAAATTAAAGTTAGGAGCCACATTATTGGAAGTGTGACTTCATCAACATGTAAAGTATAAATAAACATCTAGTATGTAAAACATATCTCGTTAAACACATTTATAAAGACCTTCAAGTCGTTGAAATAATAAAGCCTCTGGACATTAAAAAAAAAAATCCACAACTGCCGTGTCGCGTAAATAATCTCATTTTCTCGACGTTTCCCCTCCATCGATTATGAAAACTACGAAGAAAATCAAATAAAATCCCCTCGCAAATGCACCGATTAGACAAAATTTGTAAGACACCAGAAACCGTCCCTGAGTCGATGATCGGAACAAAATATCTGATGGAAAAATTGTTCGTATAGTCATAAAATAAAAACAAACACGCACACGCACATCGTATTGTAAAACCAATAGGTTCACTCAGAATCCAAAGAAAAAAAAAAAGATACGATGGCATTGTATAAAACTATAAATAGCTAAATTCGACTCGGACGCTCGAATCCTAAACAACGTTGCGAGTATACGCGAGTGAATCGTCGTTTTAAATTAAAATTTAACAATATTATAAATGTAATTTTCTCGCTTTACATAATGTATCGTATATCGGGAAAACCTTTCGGGTTCGTTTCCTTTGCCGCCGCCGCCGCCAATTTGCCGGCGCAGCACGTAACCAATTTCCGCGGGTTATTTTTCTCGGCGCGCGGATTTAAATTATTCTAAAATCGCGCGTATTTTCTCGCCGAACCCGCCGGGTAATTCTTTTTCGTTTTACACCGAAGATCGCGGAATTATTATTGTCTTCGGTGCGGCTACTCCCGCCGTAATAATAATGAATTGCGCGGCGTTCTTTTCCGGTGACCATTAAGACGCCGCCCGTCTCGGGGCGCCCGTATACATAAACTGTTGCTGCGCACGGTACATGAGGTATATAGTGGGTGACCGCGGGGAAATTTATTTCGTTTTAAAACGTAACGCCGCCCGTAAGGAAAGTAAAATTGCCGGCCCGGAGTACCTCTGATTAGTAATAGTATTATTATTATTATTATTATTATTATTATTATTATTGCCTGTGTAACGACGGCCGCGTACGAGCGAAATTAAACCTAGTTCGATTTTCGATAAACCGTGGCGCGCGCGAGGGGAAAAATCGCGGCCGTCGATACCGCGCGTTCGAGTTAACGATAATGCGCGCTCGGAACGCGATAAATCGCCGGCCGCCCGGCAGGTATACGACCGCGCGGTCATTGCGACGGTTATCGGCCACGGAGAGACCCGCAGTTGTTACGTGCGCCGCAAACGCCTATAATAACGGAGCGGAAACTTTTCTATGTACGGGGTCTTTCCGTCCCGTCTTCTGGGTTTTTCCGCGCTGCAGTCCGCGTTCGTCCGGCGCAATTTTCGGGGATTTCGGCCCGCCGTGAGTCTCCCGAGTCCCGATCCGTAGTCCGACGTTTCGAATTCGTCTTTCAGTCACTGGGCATTTACACGTGTCTCCGTGTTCGGTATCAGCGTCGTCCGTTTCCGCGATTTTGGATCAGTCGGAGGATTTCGTTGATGCGGCGATAGTAACAATGTAAATAATGACCGTCCGGTTTGTTTTTAGTGTCTAGTGACTGATGACTGACTGACGACTCGGTCTGCATATTTCGCAATTTTCCAGCGGGCATTAAGTATAATAATATAATATTTCGCATCATTACTGCATCAGATGAAAAACTTTTTGATGGAAATCCTTCTTCTGTTTTTATTTTTTTTCCACGTGCCACAGACTTTTTCATTACATTCATTACAGTACAGCTTGGTCATCAAGTAATTGTCGGCCACGGTGAGTATTCGAATAAATAGTAAAATTCGAAAACATCCCCTTCCGTCCGAATTATTATTTTTCGTACGCTATCTGCAGTCTATCGAGTATACGCAAATATCGCAAAGTAGTCGACTACATGCAAACGATTGCAGTTTTTTGACGACGACAGTCGCGACGGTGGCAAGACGACACGAGGAAACGTACAGGGCGTGCAGTGGCGTATTTACGAGGGAGGTCCAGTGACGGAGGCGTATTTACACTTTTGGCGACCCGGAGCACTGTTTTTAACTGTTGATGATAATAATTTTAACGTGAAAAAATAAGGTCATCGTGTCTTGTGACGCCCTTTTGAAATGCAACGCCCGTGGCCATTGCCCCCATTCTCTCCCTCTCAAATACATCCCTGTCCGTGGTTACTGGACTTCCCTGCAGAACCCAAAAAACAATAAATAAAATCAAACAAATATCACTGTAGTATAGTTTTCATTAATAAGTATAGACATTCGACATAATACAATCGGGACGTTGTGTCATCAGGTTTCCGAGCTGTGGCTAAATATTAATATAAGAGGTTTTAAAGATGCCTATATGATGAAGACTAATCGCTTATAGTTATACTAATCGATTATAGTTAGGTGATTGGAACTTATTTACATACAGGCTATCCCACGAAGATATACCCCTTGAATATCTTCGGAGATAATAAAGATAATCAAATTCTGTTTTTTTTTTTTTATATATTACCACAGGGATGAGGCCTGAATTTATAACAAACATTTATACTTTCATTAAATTTTTTTATTTTAGGAAAACTTTAATGCATCACACATTTATATCCGATGAATAGTTTCTAAGTAACAGCCGTTTTAAATTTTACTTATCCGTATGAAAACCAATGTATAAGTACGTCTGTATAAATATTTAATATTGAACCCCGTCCGAAAAATGATTGGACATACGTAACTGTTATACAGTATGGACACCCCGCCCCCTCAGTAGCGTGTCCAGGAAATTTCGACGGGAGAGGATATAGCAAATAAGAATTTTGAATAAATCGTAAAATCGTCTTCTTTACCCAACTCGATTATGGGAATTAGTACTTAATTTAAAAGCCGGAACCTAAAAAAAAAACCCAATTTCTAATCATCGAGTTATTCCTCGTAACTTGGCTGAAGTGCAATATACAAGTATTTCGATATTAGATAACTCATATTTTGTTTGTATTTTTAAGTTGACGGGAGGGGGTATAACACCTAACCTCCTCCTGCGCGTGCCACTGCCCCCTTCCTTAGAAAAAAGTCGAAAATACTCCTCTGAGAGCGCGCGTGCCGAGCGCGGGGATTTCTCGCGTAAAGATTCTTCTTGTCGTTCTTGTTTTCAGCCCTGACGTTTCGCTGTGCGGCGGAGGTGCGCCTTTTGGGACCCATAAACGGTGCTCTCGAACGGCTCTCCGAGCGCCAATAACGCGACGCGCGGTGATGCCCGCGAGCGCTTAATGGTCAGCCCCGGGCAATTAACCGGGGACACCTTTGTTACACGACCGAACCTGAATCCGGTCCGCGTGTGAGATCGGCGCCGGGACGGGTGTTATAATAATCACCAGTGTCCGAGAGCGTATAAAATATTGCGCGTGTATACAGAGTGATTCGTTTGTCGAGGACCAGCTGCGATTGCCCGTCCGAAGGTTTCGAGTAAATTAGATTCGCTTTTTCTCTGTGCAGACAACGGACGGGCATAATACTTCAAAACGAGTATCTATAAACAAGCTATAATTAGATTAGTATCGTTTTTTAGTGTCTGATGGATACAAGCTTCAAAAATACTAGATAACAGATTAAAGATACGCGGATACGTTGTCAAGTCAATACTGATTTTATTGAATTTTATTCACGCACTATGCTGTACCCGATGTGCTGTGGTTATTTATTTGAAACGTTTTTTTCGAAATTTACTACGATTCGGGCCCCATTTCCGTACAATCGCTTTTAGTATTTAATGTATTTATCGAAAAGCCAGTTAGGGGGAGAGAATTACCCAGTTTGCCCCTCTTCTGTGCGTCTATGGGCAAAATACTTCAAAATTAGTGTCTCGATACCTTCGTAACTGCAGTATAACGATACGTATTTTAAACACTGGCCAACCCTGCTGCAGACGTTATACTATTTAGAATCGTTTAATAATAATAGAATTTTACAATATTTAAATTTGACGACCCGTAACAACTGAAATTGTAAGCTCAAAAGGTGAACACTTTTCCGCAAAATATTATTTTGTATAGTAAAAATAATATATCGCGGATGGGTAATAACAGTTTGACACTTAGATCAGATAGAGAGATATGCATAAAGACGAATATAATAAATTCCATATCCGTGTTTATTTAGACCTAACTCTTTGTCCTTTCCCTACATTATACTGTTAAAATTGTACAAGAGTAAAAATTTTCAAATGTTAATTCGAATCTGTATAAATTTACACAAAATTTCCGAATATAATTGTACTATAACGCGAGTATAGAACGCGTCGTATTATCGCGTTTATTATTATTTTTATTTTTGCTTTTTCTTGGCCGCCCTCTCGAACGAGATAAAACCCTTTGGCCGGTGTCGGTTTTCGCGCGATGTGTTACAAAACCCGTATTATTATACGCATAATATAATAATATATTGATTTTTCTACTTTGTCCACCACACCCGCGGCTGTTGACGAGCCTCGAATACCTTAAGGGGCTTGGGGCCGAATCGCATTAACGTTCAAATTCGATTTATTAATATCCCGCTCGTTTCGCCACCTATGTCGTATATAATACGAAATCGGGTGACATATTCCGTGGTACAGTACAGCTGCGGAAATTCGATGGATTTTACGTCGGATCATTATGTTCTGGAAAAAAGTTCGCCGCCGACGGCTTCATATACTACAATAATAATAACTACTCGTAGATCCCGTCACGTGTTATACCTACGTGTATGATTGAATATAAATTTGATTTAAAATTATAATAATACATTTGTAGCATTCATAGGTTTGAGAAAACAGTATATTATTATAACCACGTCGAAAACGGCGCTAGAAACGAACGATTTACATTTCGTACATTTCAACGATTTGTAGGCTTGTAGGTATTATCCTTCATATACGAGTGTAACGTTTTTAACGGCCTGGGTTTGATTAAATTTATTGTAAACCGAATTTATCCAATTTATCCAAATGTCTATGCTGTAACGCTTAAGAGGACGCTATACGCGCATGTGCTGTCTCACTCCAACTAACGGGCGATGTAGGAAAATTAACTTTACACAGTCTTCGTAGAACTCTCTTAATTTCGGTTTTAGAGTAAAACCAATTATTATAAAATTAAAAGAGGACAATATTCCGGAGGGCAAGACGATGCGTTTTTCATATTATTCTAATTATTATTCTGGTTTTAACGTTCAATACATCGTTAAAGAATAGAACCTAATTCATATTTTTTAAATTACTGTAACATAATAAAAAATGGATTTTAAAAAAAAGACGCATCGTCCTGCCCTCCGAAATATTATCCTCTTTTAATTTTATAATAGGTGCTTATTTTATTCTAAAACCAAAATTAAGGTAGTTTGCGTTAGGTAAATTTTGCTATATCGCTCGTTACTTGGAGTGAGAAAGCACATGCGGGTATAGCGTCCTCTTAAGCGTAGTGATTTTAAATGAGGTTGACATCGACGATATCTGAATAATTGTGCGACATGTGTTCACTATAATAATAATATTAAGAAATTTAATACCCGAAAAAACACCAAACATATGTATATTTTGACACATATGCTCGTTAGAAACGATTTTATTATTATTATAATATAATTAATTAACTTAAATATTATAATTTGTTATCGTTTAAAAATATCAAGCTTTATATTATTAAGCACATTTTTTTTTTCTAGTAATTTTTGAATTTTAATACGCGTAAAATGTAAATTCGGTTGTTAACTTAATTTCCAATTGGGTACGTCAAAAATTATTAAATCATCATCAGATCCTATTAGTAAAATAAAAAAAAAAAACCGATTGTGGCGTAAAAAGTATTTTTTTTTTTTTTTGTACCTTGATAATGTTGTATGCATTTTGAATAAAGAATATTATTTTTTCTTGTTGTCGGTTTTATACGTACCTATGTTATTATTACACGACACCGATATAATAATGAAGTCGATACATTTTAGGAAGTCGCTAATAATCACGTTTGACAATGTAATACGATGTGGATTTAGTGTACCATAGGTATTATAGGTATCTTTTCCTCGTTCAATATGATATTTGCCATAAAAATTCTTTGGAAAGATTCTTGACAAACGTATTGACAATTATCGGATAACAACACACACACACACAATATGCTATTTTACGAACCGTATGCACTTATTGTAGTCCGCAACATAGATGTTATGCGATTAAACGTGCATCGCACGTACCTACGTACCAAACGAAATTGTTTTGACTTTGCTTTCAAATTGTACGTACCTATAACTGATTAATGCACTGTATCGCCTGTTGCAACTCGACGACTATTCGATATTAATCAGTATAAAACACATAATAATATGCTACGTGTTCGATTAGATTTCGGATCAAAAATAGTACAATGTTGTTTTTAAAAAATCGAAAATAAACTTAAAACCTAAAATCTACTGGTATCTTAAGATTCATTATATTATTTTGAATTCAAACACATTTTGTAAACGCGTTTAAACAATTGATTACAATTTATAAACAGTTTGGTCATACGCGTATTCTATTCACACCCTGTTCAAAGTATTCAGACTAATTGGAAATTCGAAAATTTGATTCACTGCGCAGTACCGTCTGCGGAAAAAAATAAACTAACTAAAACAAACATTATCGTTAAATTACATTGTTATATTCAAGACCGAATACAAATTAATTATATATTTTAATATTTCAATACTTGTACACGGCTACGTATTAAAATTTTTGGTTTGTACATATTTTGTTAAAACATCTGTTGTTTGAAAGTATTTTTATTTGATACCTATTTTAATAAATATTATTATACTCGTCACTGGTTATTTCAGATTTCGAGCGTAACGAGGAATGTATTTATTGGTTTTCTTATATGTCATTATCATTATTACTTTATTTGTATGTGTGTGTGTCTTTGAACAACTTTTCTACCAGAAATCAGTTGTTTTTATTAAACATTGCCGTGGAAAAATGGTTAACAGATGTTAGTTATAATAATAAATTATAAACTGTAAAAGTAATTATTAATAACCATAATATAATAATTAACAATGATAATGTTCAATAAAAATAACTGAATTTGTTTAGTTATTTTGTTTTATTATTATTATTATCAAATAAGTCGTATTTTTCTGATAGAATCAATAAATTATTATTTAAATGAAAAAAAATACATTATTCAATGGAAATGTCATAATGTTACTCTAAAATTACGAAAGGTAAAATAACGGCAATACCTAATGATCAGTTTTGGAAAAAATCAAGTGCTCACTTTTGGGTTATGGGTTTTTTATTTAATTTTGTATGGATATATTATAAATAAAACAAAATCCGAGATTTTGAGGTTAAAAAAAAAATGTCAAAAACATCTATTCTGAAGGTCACATTTTTTTTTGGTGCACCCTGTATGCGTTACACTCGTATCGAGTCAAATATATAATTCGAAATATCGAATTTATAATAACAAAACTGCATTGATGTAGAACATTTTGACCGTGTTTGCTGTCCATTTTCGACAGTAGGTATGTACCTACGCACATCCCGGACTTATAACAGAAAAGTGGGTATTCGGAAACTACACTCTGGGTGGCTTTTGTTATCGCGTGTTCCCTCGTGGGAGAAAATATTGCATACAATAGACACCGTGAATATACTGTTCCGGGAACGCGTGTTAATCATACACTTGTCGATCCCTTTTCAAAAATAAGGTGCTTTTGCCTTTTTTTTTTTTTTTTTTTTTTTTATTATTTTATTATTATTTCCACTCTTTCTACCTATCTTATATACCTGTGTAATATTATATATCGTGTTTTATTTTATTTTCCCTTTTTTTTGCTTTATCGTTGGCTAGCAGTACCTGTTTATATATATACGCCGTTTTCTATCAAATGAAAATTGTCTCAAATTGACGCGGGAACGAGTATATAGGTATAACGAGTGTATATGGACGTTAAATCGAATTGCAGCAGTCTTGAAAAGGCGATAAAAAGAAGGGCGATTTGGGACCCGGGGATAATCATCCATCCGGGAGTTTGACATTGACCGGTGCGAACAGAATGATACGGGGCCGAATGGGTGGAATAAAAGGAACGCTCGTTGATTGTCCGAGAAAATGAAACAATTCCCAGGTCTTATTTTGAAGCCTGTCCCCGGGATCCCCTCGAACATTATTGTCCCCCGGGACCCTTTCTTTTCTTTCTTTCTTTTTTTTTGTTTATTACTAAAAAAAAAAAAAAAATAAATAAATAAATAAAAAGGGGAAAAAAAGCTAAAACAATACACTATATCTACCGTATACTACTGAAATGTCGTTTAAGCATTAAAACTGTTTTGTTCTCCATGTCTTGCACTGCTGTAGCTACCTATATATCGTCAAACACCATTACTTTAATTGCGTCTCGTTATATCATATAGGTATATATACAGAATTCACTCGGTTGCCGGTGCTGCTCCTCTTTCTCTTTGACACTTGTTTCTTCGGCCCTTAATCTCTTTTAGTTAAACAACACGCTGCTGCAGTCGAACCGGAAGGACGAGGGCGACGACGTCGACGAGGGGATTAGGTTCGAGAAAATGCACCCAATCTTCACGCATCGCGTACCGAGGAATTAATAATAAAAGAATTCGTCTGACATTTTGATGTTTATTTTAGTTGAGGATAAATAGCAGCTATGACCGCTATATACCTGTATAATACACTTACACGCCACCCAATGTCTAATGGGTCGAATCGGATGATTGACTGGAAACCCATTAACCTGCTGTTCGGTCGTTCGGGTATAGGATTAAAAAAATAAATAATGTACCGAGTTATTGTTATACACGTAAGAAAAAAACAAAAAATAATAATCCAGTGTTTGGTTTCTAAATAAATACACGATAATAACACTTATTTTGAAAGCAGATGATTCGACAACACGA